TCTATCTCAAGTACGTCAACATGTACGCCTCCATCTTCTTCCTGGTGTGTGTCAGCGTGCGTCGCTGTCAGCTCATCATGCGTCCGCTGAGGTTCAACTCGTCCAAGCAAAGAGGAGATTTGGTAATATGTGCCGTTGGCTGGCTGTTAGTCTGCCTGTGCTGCCTGCCCTTTCCTCTCCTGAGGAACCCCAACAATGAAACAGACGTTAATTCAAGTCTCTCAGACTTGTGTTTCTCAGAGCTGCCAATGAGGACGGTCAGTGTTCCAGCCGCCTGGGTGCTCCTCATCCTCGCAGAGCTAATGGGCTTCATCGTTCCTCTTATCCTAGTGTTAGGCTGCACCTTTCTTACTGCTGGCAGTCTTCGGGACTCCACGGCGTGGGCAATTCCTGACCGGGGGGAGAAGAGGAGGGCGTTACGGATGGTGCTTAGCTGTGCTCTGGTCTTCCTAGTGTGCTTTGCTCCTTACCATGTCACCATGCCCCTGGACTTCTTGGTTAAAGCTGATGCCCTGAACAGCTGCGCCTTAAGGGACTTGATTCTGCGATGTCACCCCGTCACCCTCTGCCTAGCCAGCCTGAACTGTAGCCTGGACCCACTCATGTACTATTTCACAACTGATGAATTCTGGAGGCGACTGAGCAAGCCGGAGATACCAGAGACTTTCAGCAGGCGCCTGTCCTGTATGACTGGGGGAGAGAATACAGAGAACTAGAAACTCTTAGAACTCTCTTATTGATGAAGTACCTGAGATAAATATACACTCCTAAATCTAAGGATAGATAGTTAGCATGAAAACTGGTAAGTGCAGGGTCTAGCTGCATAACATGAGACTGGGCTCACCTCCGTCAACGGACTCTTACGGGGCCCTAGCATAAAGAAGGAAGACATTTGTGCAAGAGGACAATCATCAGGTTACGATTGCCTGAGTTAGTTAGTTGGAATTAGCACATGACCTGCGAAAAAAACACAAATAACATAACCTACTATACAACCAACTGTAAGACTAAGTGTAAGTTAAGCAGCAAATGATTATGAACTAACCCTATAAGTTTGCTAACGTTAGCTAGCCATGTTTATGTTGTTAGCAATGTCAACATTAGCTTAAAGAGGACCTATCATGCAAAATGCACTTTGTGATGTCTTTTATACATAAATATGTTTCCCCGGTGCGTCGGGGGACTCACGCAGTGTCAGAAAATAAAACCCTCTCTCTTTTCCTCCGTACCCAAATCTTTTAAAAACGGGTGTACAACGAGCGGATACATATTTCCATCCGCTGTGACGTGTCCATCCACTGTGACGTCGGCGGATCACAGAAAGTTGCTATCAGAAACAAAGCCTGACGTGTTTTGGACGTAATCTCATCTTTGTTTACATTAGCAAGCCTCGCTAACACTCAGAGCTAACCTGTACTGAAGAGCACATGTGTTTAAAAAGCAGGAAATAAAAAAAGTACTCACCTTGTGATAAAAAAAAAAGAGAAAAAGCATTTGAGCTCCATACTATTTCGGAAATAATCCTTGACGTGGTTTAAACAGGATGGCGTTTTATCACAACCGAATTTAACTTTATCTCCAGTAGAATTCTGATCAGGCATTAGCTCCGCCTCCTCTTCTTTTTTTTTCAAGCTAAGGACCCAGGATCCGCGTTTCTCTAACAGGGCTGCAAAAGAGGGGTTTGAGCAGTATGAGGCATGGCTGCAATGGTTGATCTGTTTGGTATTTTGAAAAAAAAACTTCACAGGCATGTTTTGTATAGGCCCTACAATATATTCTTCAAATATAGCATGATAGGTCCACTTTAAATGGATACATTAAGGGTTTGGTATATTTGACTGGTGTGCTTCGTTTGCTAACGACATTAACGTAGCTTGCTAACCTTCGCAAGGTTGGTACCTTAGACGTTATTTGCTGCTTTTAAATACATGACCTAACTCTCTTGGTTACAGTTTTAACGGATTGTACATGTTTTCCGTAGTTTTATTGGTGGAGCTTGTCATTAACGTGATGTACTTAAAACTGTACATAATTATGCTCAGTAGGATCTTTCACTTATTATCGATAAGCGACACAAACAACACTTTCTGCAACATTATATAGTGGCATGTAAATGTTATTTATTCACAATTGTGTGATTACGTGGATTTGCGTTCCATTTCGAGGTGGGCCCGGGCCAGGAGTTCTGCAGAGTAATCCATTATTGAAAAATAAGGGATTCAGTTTAAAAAAGGCCAACTATTTTTCTATTTCTATTTTAATAAAAGATGTCTGTTCTTTCAAAATGTGTACCATCTTGGTGAAGAGTGAGCCGTTCCTGTTATGAATGATGAACATGTCATCAGTGCCAACATCTCTAAAAAGCAACAGGAAATACAGAATACAGGCAAACCCTTAAACCAGCTAAATGTTCCAGTTGTTTGTATCGTAGGATAAGCTTACAGCTCGCAGTGGAAGGGTGGTAGTCCTGGAAATTGAATAATAAGTGAAGAGACAGAATATTCAATAGGTAAAGAAATGCAACTTTATTCAGCAACAAAGTTAATTAATTTCAGTAGCTGCACACAACATTATTTTTGTATCTATTTTTCTAGCACTGTTAGACAGAAAACACGTTTTTACACACACATTTCCTGTCTGATTGTCTTTCTGTGCAGGCATTGACTGCAAACAATTGAAAATCTCTTGAAGTAATTTGGCAAAAGGCCATTTTTTTTAATACCTTCGAGCTTAAGGGCTTTCAAAATCAATGACAATTTTTACAAACATATTGTTCCTGTGACAGTTTTAAACATATGGAGTTTTCCGAAACTTGTAGCAACCTGTAAAGCTACATAGGATTCATAAATAAGAATTAAAAAAATGGACATAAAGAATACTTCTTCAATTTGGTCAAATTTCCATATAGCTCATTCACTTCTTTAGCTTGTCAACAATCCTTCAAGTTTTTTTTGTCACAAATGAAGTCTCTACACAAACACAAAGTCACTGACTGCCCTGTCAGGTATGAAACCGTAAATTACATAAAATCTTCACACAGCAGGACAGCAGTGGCCCCTTGGAGCAGCAGGGCACTCTGGGAAATATCTACAAAGGTGCCTGAGAGCTCGGGGCTCAAGCGTCTCTGGGACCAGACAGACGACCATGTTACATGCGTACTGCAGCTGTACTGTACCATACATTTCCTGGGTGACTTGTGCTATATCACACTATAACATATAGTAGATCTTGTCTGCTCTAATAACCCCATTCAAAGCGGGAACAGTAGGCTGACACACAGACATGACTGTTATGAATAACTTCTCAGTATCACAAGGATATTCAGTAGTAAGACTAACAACTCTCATCCGGAGGTGGGTGGATGTTGCAACACATTAACGACGACTAGATAATTAAAAAGGAAGTTACAGCAACAGAAACTAACATAACAAATTAAACTTAGTATATCTTTAAAGAGCAGGGTAACGCTGGTTATTAGTACAAGACCAACTAGTGAGTACTTTAGCAAGAGGGGGAAACAGCAGAGGAGGGGGGTCAGGCTGTATAACGCTGTAAATTAGATTCACTTATCACAGGGGATAAAGCAAGGGGAGGAAAAAACTGAGTATTTTACAAAAGTAACTTTCTGCTGAAAGCTGTTCCCTCCGTCGCCTACTTCCTCCCACTCTCTCTCTATATCTCTATATCTCTTTTGCTCGCTTGCTTCGTGTTTTCCCATCAAGCCTTGCAGATCCTGGTCTCCGTCACAAATTTGTTCTCAAAGTGGTGGATGGTGAAGCATTCGTCTGCGGAACGCTTCTGGATGCCTCCACCTGACAAGACAAAAACATTACGACTAATTATTAAAATGGCAAAACTGACACTAAATAAAATCAATAGCTGAAAATCTTAACACTTATTTACAGCCCTTCTAAAGTGGTCCTCAGTATGGACAGGTACTAAAAATAGTTGAGTTAAATTCAGCTTTATGTGGTTTAACGTGGAGGAAATGATACTTAGCAAAGTGGAACTGAAAACAAAACGTCTGTTAGCTCAACTTGAATAAGATGAAGTGTGGTTGTGTTATTTGGTTTGATATAGATGTCAGCTATTAAAAGCAAGTTGACAACTGCTAAGACAAAAGTCCTCTATGACGCTCAAGGACAAATATGTTTAAAACTGCTTCTAAAATGTCCCTTCTGGGCACAAGCAGCAGTGTCAGAATTGTAGCCTTGTTCCCCAAACAAAGCGACAGCTTAATTTTAACAGCATTTTGTTGAATAAAATTTATTTTCCACAATTTCCCAAGTATATCAACTAGTTTAGGATTATTTCAACTTAAAGGAAACACCTTATGGTACTTTTAATATTATTGAAGCTTATTAAACGAGACAAAATATCAGTTTTAGATGTGCAGTCCATCCAGACCTGGCAGGCTGGAGCGGCGCTGCATTCTGTACGTGTCCTTCCCCTCACACAGCCGGCGGATGTAGAAGCCCAGAGGCTTAATGTCATCGATGCGCTCCGTCACCACCAAGTCCTCGTGCACCAAGTAGCTGCGGTAAGAGCCGGACTGGGACAAAAAGAAGGGTTTAGGACACATCTTCAAAAGCACTTTTATTAGTTTTCATCAAAGAAAAGCAGCACAGTGAACAAGCCAAGTGTGAGGGACAGCCTTTGTCTGATTAATGATTCATCACCAAACTTCTGTATTTGTTGAAACACTTCCACATTTGATAATGATATTCGCTGATGGCACCACCACCCACGCTGTACAACATGTCCTGGTGGAGAACTCAGTGACTATGACTTTTTTTTGACTAGCTACACTTTTTGTGCCCACATACAGTCCCACATCTCTCAAACTTCTGATATTGCTCAACTCCCGCACAAACTAAAATGCTGTTGCATCAACCTGATGATGTTCATGTTCATATATTGTTGAGACTTGTCATATAAAAACCCAGGTCGTTTTATTTTTTATTAAATAATGATACCAAAACCTAACTATCTATAGTCAAAATGTCAACCTCATGGCTCTAGGGATGGCAAGCTTAGCTTTTCATCTTTTACTTGGTCACATATCACATATTTAAGGAGAGTGAAAGAGTTTCATTATGAAAGTAATACATTCTGATGGAGATGACTCATGCAGAGCTGCTAACACTGAATGTCGGGGGATAGTGGAAGATGATGTAGGCTGGATTTTTTTTACTCAACAAATAACACACATGACAGATTTGCAGAGGATTAAAGCACAGACAATATATGGAATAACTATAAACCCCCTGGATTTCACCAGGTAATATCAAGTGCTTAATATTAGGGCTTATGCCTGAGTGAGAGCGCTGTGCCGGTGTGGTTTCTCCTCCATCATGAAGCTACGTTTCTCTACAGCCGGCTGCGTGAGATGAGATGACTTGACCTGAGATGGTGCCGTGCTGATCATGACTCACCATCAGCTGGGAGAACAGGTCGATGAGGTCCTGAGGGGGGAGCACCACCGAGGTGTTCAGAGGGATCACAAAGCACGTCCTCAGAGTCAGGTCCAGGTATGCCGTCAGCTTCTGCTCACACACATATGAAGAAATCAGGAAAGAGTTTAAAGTACATTAACAGTATGTACAGTACTGTGTGCAGGCCGGTCACAATTACGACTTTGTTGGACGATATGTGACTCGCTCTAACTAAATCAGTCAGATGTCGCAACGGCTCATTCATGGATTTATGTTTAAAACTTGTATCATGGTCGTTTTGGGGTTTTGGTTGATTTTAAACAAACAAAGTCTTGGCTTTTAGAATACAATACTCTTACCACCATATTCAGATGATAATCACATTCTTAAAGCTGATAAAGGCAAGATAACAAGATCAGGGATCAGCGATCATTCTTCTCATACAAACTTTAACTTATATTTTTTAGAAAAATGAACTTCAAACTTTGAAGGCCTTTTTTCTCAGAATTTGAAAGCAAAGAAACTTCTATTTCAATGTATGCAGCTCAAATGTGTTTCAGAGACAATGTTTTGATTTTGATGGAGAAAGCCACGTAGATTCTCCCAGAAGTAATTGTATTGTCCTTTTAAGACCATCTAATACCACTAATAAAATGTTTGTTTAATAGCATTAAAATTCAATTACGCCCTTTTAAAGAGCAATGAACTTTTAATTCTTAAGAAGAATATAGGCACTGGAAT